TTGTTTGTTTTTCATTGTCATCCACTTCATGTAAAGTTTAAATTAAATCTTTATATTATTTATCTTAGTTAAAACCCAAGCAGATATAAAGAAATGTGTATTTTTTCTCTCCATTTAGCAGTAATGAGCTGAGCAGCACCTTTTGCTTGATTTACTGCAGTTTTTTTTAAACAATTTGATCACAGAAAAAGATTCTTGAATATGAAATAAATAAATAAATTCTGTAAATCACTATCTTATTCTGTTTTAAGTAGTGTTGGGTTGATGCCATTTTTTGGCCCCAGTACCGATACCCAACACCTAGCTGAGCAGTATTGGCCGATACCATACAGATACCATCTGTTTGAAATTGATGTGTATGTGTGTATATATGAAGAACTGCATACTACTTGGATTTAAAATAATTGCTTTGTCAAGCTGCTGCCTACCTTTGTGAAGAAGAAAAAAGACGTAGTGGGAAAAAGTATTCAGCTATTCACTCTATTTAAATAAACAGAGATCGATGGATTTCATTCAGTCGGCACTTTATTCATAAAATCTTTGCAAAGAGAGAACAGTTCATCATACAGCCCTTATGGCACTGTATTCAGCCCCATTCTACCTGAGCAGCTTTCGTTCCCCCTTACTTACAACAATGGAAAGTAGACAAAGTCAAAACAAATTACAGACACTTTGGTTAACAGAAACATGTTATGAATAAACTTTGAGAAAGACCCTGGTTTGTTATGGGAAGAAGCTATGTCTGGTCTACAAGCCCTCATGCAGAGAATGGTGTGACCTTGCAGGTGAAACAGACTCAGGGAAAATGTTTAGAGTGAGTAAATAGGATAAATTAATATATGAAATAAGATAAATCAAGATTTTCCAACAACAGACTAATACAAAGTGAATCCAGTAGAACGTTATATTGCCTAACTGGAATGGGCGGCAATTGTTGAATAAACTTTTGGCTCTCAAAATGGTATTGGTGCCCTATTTGTTAATACTCGCAGATACTGAAACCACCATTTTAGTGCTGTATCTGGGCCCCGCCCGATACTGGTATCGGTATCGATGCAACACTAGTTTTAAGTTAAAGTGCTGCTGCTTGAAGCTCTTTGCTGTTTTTCCATCACAGCTGTGTTTCATGTTCAGCTGTTGGCCATTACATGATTAAAGTCCCTGTGATGTTGCAAAAATGCACAAATATAAGTGACAGAGGACAAAAGAAGCCCATGATGTTGTTAAGGATTAAGTATGTTATTTATTTTCACTAAAGGTAAAGATTAATATTATTCTTTAAGGTGTGTCTGTTTCCTGTGATGGCCGACAAGATGGAGCTCACTATTATGGAGCTTTGGGAGGATCAGTGGAGCTTCCACTGGAGAACGACTTCTCACAATTACGCAGTGCTGAATTAACAAAGAATGGCAGTGTATTTAAGGTGTTGACCAACAAACCAACAGAAAGCTGGAAAGAGGGAAGAATTCTCTTCTTTTCAAATAATGGATCATTTATGATCAATGACCTGAAGATGAGTGACAGCGGTGAATATGAACTTGGAATGTTTGCTAAAGATGGAAAGTTATCAGAATCCAGAAGTGTGCAGCTCTGTGTTCAAGGTAATTCACTGTTTATCTTCTACTTTTTTTTTTTTTTATATTTTCTACTCTTTGTTTTGCTTCCACTACTTTAAATGTTGTGGTAATCTTTGTACTGATTCTCAATACCAACATTTTATAACAGCCTTCAGTATAAATTCTGTGTTTTTCCAGTTTTCTACCAAAAGGTAAAAAAGACATTTCCTGAAATCAATGTGTTTTTCTCTCTCAGCTCCTGTGTCTTCTGTAAAGCTGGTCCATCAATGTTTGTCCCAGGGACAGATCAAGGTGTCCTGTCTCTCTGAAGGGGACAGTCCTCAGTACAGCTGGACTCTGGATGGAAAAACACTGACAGACTCTGAACTCCTCTCTGGAAATAATCA